AGAAACACTCCACGCCTCTGCCCGAGCCCCGGGCGAGACCCCATCCTCCTTCTTTGCACGGCGCTGTGTCCTTCAGTGTGGCTGACCTCTGCTGCCTCAGCAGCCCTCACCCTGCCTCCTCGGGGCAGCTGTGTGTGTTCACCAACCCCTTACACAGCGGGCCAAGCCTGACCTCCCAGCGGTGACAGGACCAGAACCCTCTCTGCTGAGGCGACTTTCCAGCATGTAGACACACCCCGACCAGTGCAACGGGTCCCACCGAACCCGGGGCTGCCGGACAGGAGGAGGGCCGGGTGCTCAGTCAGAGCAGGAAACATGCCCCATCAGCACCGCTGCCTTGGGGAATCTGATCTGACCTACAATCGGCCCAACTCCATGACCCACACAGGCCTTGGGCTGATTTTTTGTTTCAATTTTACTTTATTATGGTGAGAACACTTAAAACAAGATCCACCCTCTTATGCATTTTCAAGTAAGTGCACCACACAGTATTATTAACTTGGGCACAATGTTGTACCGCGGAGCGCTAGAACTTACTCATCTTGCCTTACTGAAACTTCACGTCCATGAACTAGCAACACCCCATTTCCTCCTCCTCCCTAAGCGCCTGGCAGCTACCATTCCGCTCTTTGATTCTGTGAGTTTGACTATGCACAGGTCTTGTTAACTCATTAACATTTCAAGAATTCAAAACATGGCCCTGGCCAGGTAGTTGGTTGGAGCATTGTCCTGATCGGCCAAGGCTGTGGGATGCGTGGAACAACAGATCAATGTTTCTCTCTCTCTTCTCTTTTTCTCTCTCCCTCCCTCTCTTCCTCTCTCTAAAATCAATCAGTCAATAAAAAAACTGTTTAAGTTATATGTGGATTGTCAACACCCCCACCTCCTCTCCACCTTCCCCAGCCAGCCGCCCCTCTTACTTGGGTCGGGAGAGGTAGAGACACTGTCCTCTAGCGAATCCTTATTCTGGGTCCTGGGGTTCATCCCTATGGAAAGAGGAAAACAGCTGGTTTTAATGAGGCTCACTCTTCAAGAAAAGCTCTGACCAGTCATGGTTTAAAAAGCCCCAAACTAGAGGTAAAAATGAAGATGTACACCAAGTGCTGAGGATTTCCAACAGCACGAAGGAATCAGTCACAGAAAAAGGATCACTCTAAAAATGGGGAACGAGCCAGAACGTGACTCTGAGGTTATCAATACTATTATTCTTTGCCCACTGAGACCTTGCAAAAAGCAGCTTACCACTTTCAGGAAGAAAAGGGATGCATTCCAAAGTCATTTTAAACAAAGTAAAGCAATCTTTAGCACACATAAAAGCAATCTTTAGCAAGCATAAAATGACCTATTTAAATTTCGTCCTTCCCCAAATCATGGCTGTTTGAAGTATGATGTCAAAGCTCACTACCTGAAGAGAAAACACACATGATTTCACCTATAACTAGGCTGAAAGAAAAACAGATTCTTTGAAATACAATTTATTAACAGAAATGTAATAGAACTCATTTTAAAACACACATGTAAATATTTAAATGTTCCTTTCAAAACATGAAATCAATAAAAAAATACATTTTAAAAAATATATTTTTATTGATTTCAGAGAGGAAGAGGGACAGAGAGATAGAAACATCCATGATGACAGAGAATCATTAATTGGCTGCCTCCTGCAAGTCCCTTACTGGGGACTGAGCCCACAATCCTGGCATGTGCCCTTGACCAGAATCGAACCTGGGACCTTTCAGTTTGCAGGCCGGCGCTCTATCCACTGAGCCAGACTGGCGAGGGCGAATATATATAGATTTTTTAAAAGAAGCAGAGGGGTGAAAACTATCTGCCCAGACCCACTGCTGGGCCGAGTGTGAAAAACAAGGGAATGACCCAGGTGCCAGGCTCCAGCCAACAAAGCTCAGAATGAAACCCGACGGAGCCAGGAGGGAAACCCACAGAGACACCTCCTGGGAGCCATGACTCGCTAGGAGTTCGGTACAAGCGCAGAAGACCTGAGTCATGCCCGAGTGCCTGCAGGTGGTGCAGACTGTCAAGCCCAGGGGGTGAGGGTGAGGTCACGGATGAGGTCGTCTGTGTTTTAATGAATGAAATGTGAACTAGCTGTTTGCTTAGACCCCACCTTGTCCCCAAACAAGAACCCAATGTGACATTTTGCCCTCAGGGAACCCGATCTACTTTTGATGGCTGCAACTTGGCGAGGCGGGTGGGCAGGCAGGGAGGAGGGGAAGGCCTTTCTGCCCATTAAACTGATGAGGCGCAGCCCAGGCTGAAGGCCGAACTCCGAAGGCCATGAGGAGTCGGGCTGGGAACTTAGTTCTGGTCGTAGGTCACATGTTCAAACCACACGGTACCACTGGAACCACTCACAGTCCAGCTCCCCGCAAGAAGGCTTTACTTTCTCTTTTTTTCAGAGAGTGGAAGGGAGGGGGAGTGACAGAGAGAGAGAAACATTGATGTGAGGGAAACACAACGACTGGGCGTCTTCCGCATGCGCCCTGACCAGGGCCAGGGATTGAACCTGCAACTGAGATATGTGCCCTTGACCAGAATCGAACCCGGGACCCTTCAGGCCATGGGCCGACACTCTACCCACTGAGCCAAACTGGCTAGGACGAGGGCTTTACTTCCATGATTGTTACCCCTTCCCCCCATGGAACTGCTTCCAACAGAATCCCGAGCCAGAGCTCCCAGAGGTGAGGATTGGTGTCCGAATCACTTGGCTTCTCCTCAGGCCTTAGCATAGCGCCTAGCGTTCAGGAAACATTTCGGGAACGGGTACGAGTTCAGTGGGTATGAAGAAAGTGCTCTATGGGGATTGAGGATGGCTGAAAGGAGTCAATTCCACACCAAGCAAGGCAGAAAAAGACCGTCCGATGCTGTGAGGAAAGGAATCCAGTTAACTGTTCCAGAATCAATGCTAAAGGTTTTAAAAGAGAGAAGAAAAACCTTCAGTAGAGGGAAAACTAACCTCAGAAGGCTCTCAGCATTCACTCAGCTACCTGCTGTGTGCCAGGAACCGTTTTAAACTCTAGAGATACAGCCATAAACAACAAAAAAGAAAGCTCTAGCCCAGCGGCGTGGCTCATAGGTTGAGCATCGATTCCCAGGCCGGGCACATGCCCGGGTTGTGGGTTCGATCCCCCGTGTGGGTTGTACAGGAGGGAGCCGATCAGTGATTCCCTCTCATCATTAATGTTTCTGTATGGAAGGGAAGTTAGCAGGCTTCTGAGCTAATTCAGGCGAAAGATGATGGATGTTACGATGTTACATTGGACCGAGCGAGTGGTGGAGGTGATGGGAAGATTCTAGATCTATCCTGAAGGTAAATCTGACATGAACTGCTTATTGCACATGGCAACACAGAATGATTTGATCGCGTTTCTTTCCATGGCTGGCTAACACGACTGACCAGGAAGCACAAAATCAAAGGTGGGAGTTCAACGCTACAGATCACCTCTGATGACCCCTGACCCCTTTGAAAACACATGCTACTGGTCATAAAGGGACAGGGCAAGAGTCAGGATGAGCCTGCTTCTCTACATTACCCATACATTACCCAGACTACAGTACCCGAGGTCCCACGCCTTCTCTACGGTAAGGTGCTAAACATTCTAGAACATATTTATGTAATTGAACACTCGCAGGCCAAGTAGAGTAACTCTGTGGGTCATTCAGATGCTTCTCACACATGGCCGCTTGGCCTTGGAAGTGTACGTCACTTGTCAATACATGTGGGGCGTGGGGACACTGTGGGGGCGAACAGAGATAAGCTCTTTCAGGCGAGTGGAGCGACAAACACGGGAGCGATGGGATCAGAACGTGCCAAGTGGGACAACGGGGTCATGCGTGTGAAGCGCTGTGGACACATGCCTAACAGCTCCTGGGAAGGCATGAGGGGGAGACAGGAGCACCAGAGGGCCGCAAAGGAGGGGCGTTGTTGGAGCTGATTCCTAAAGACCAAGCTGACATTTCCCACGCAGAATCAGGGGTTGAAGAAAGAGAAAAAGCATGTTCCAGACAGAGGCAAGCCCACCACCTGGGCCTGGGCCCTGACCCGGGATTGAACCGTGACCTCCTGGTTCACTGGGTCACGCTCAACCACCGAGCCACACCGGCCGAACAAGAAATGCAAAGAAAGAAGAGGACAAAATACACCACACTGTTCCCCTCTGGGCTTCTCCTAGTTGTTCTTATGGAGGGCCCCCCGGCCCCCACACACACACAATGGAAAGCTCTTTCGGGAGCACAGATCTCTCCTGCCCTGGCCCTGGCCCTGCCCTCAACACGAAGCTCCCAAGTCATCCTCGGTCACGACTGGCTGACAGACCGAAGATAAATGCGGCTTGACCAGCATGTTCCCGGCTAAAAATGTACCGTGCGGCCCATTTATAATTCCATGCATTATAAAGCACTGCTTCTAAATAGGTCGCCCCAAATTGTGGCTGACATGATCCCAAAATAGACGCGGCCCTTCCTTTCTGGTCCCCGGGCGAGCCTGCTCCGAGCGTCCCGGCTCTGTCGCCTCCTGGATCGGTTACCTGCGCCGCTGTTGCTAAGCAGGCCGGCAGCAAGCTCTTCCGTCCCACCGAAGTTCAAGAAGGACATGCCGTCGCCGGGCTGGCGGGAGGAGCTGTGCCTGCGGGGAAGAGCCCAGCCACCCGGCTTAGTGCAGATCCTCACCTCCTTTATCCTGCTCACCCTGCATCCCAGGGGTCGTCATCCAAAGCAGGACTGGCTATTCAGCCACCCAGTCCCAGGCTGGCAACCGCTGGGATCCGTGTCACAGGCTACCAGGCCGCGGCGCGTGGTCCTGTGCCAGCTCCGGCCTCCTGTGACCAGCCCCTCCTGCCCTGGCACCTCACCTGCGATTGCCAAGGCTAGACCGCCTGCCCTTTCTGCTCTAAGCCTCCCCTGCTAACACCAACAGGAGGATGTGAGGTGCTCGAATAGAGGCAGCAAGTTCATCTGGTAGAGATGGTCACGTCGGTCTGTATCCCTCATCCATCCCAGGGGATGATGAGGTGAGTGAATGGGGTCGAACACTGCTCTTTGCAAAGTGTTGCCTAAAACATTACAGTGAGTCCAGGCGTAACCCGGGCTCATGCTTGTCCAGGCTTCAATGGCTTTCTTCCTGGACCGAGTCTCTTTGGATGCCTCTAACGCAGTGGTTCTCAACCTTCCTAATGCCACGACCCTTTAATACAGTTCCTCATGTTGTGGTGACCCCCAATTTCATTGTTACAAATTGAACATCATTAAAGCATAGTGATTAATCACAAAAACAATATGTAATTATATACGTGTTTTCCGATGGTCTTAGGCGACCCCTGTGAAAGGGTCGTTCGACCCCCAAAGGGGTCGCGACCCACTGGTTGAGAACCGCTGCTCTAATGCATTCAGAATTCTGGTTCAAAAAGGCTTGTTTTTAAAAACACAGACCTTGATTTCCACCATTTTTAGCATTGATTTATTCTAAATTCAGCAGTGAGATTTCTCAGTGACCAAAATGACAAAAGTCAGAGGCTGCCTGACCAACACACACAGCAAGAATCACCGGTCTCGGCACCCTTTGTCAGCCTTGACCAAGGACTAGAAGGCATTCATGTCTGAGATGTACAAACTGGGCTCTCAATTACACCTCCACTAAAGCAGGGCCTGGGCAAAATTTCTGGCAAAAATGTCAGGCTGTTTGCTTTGAATTTGGCCCACTGAAGGGAGTGACGCTGACCCTGATCTTACACTGTCTCTTCCAGTCTCATCAACGTGACACTGTGTCAGTGGTCTGTTCTGCGCATTGTCTTGGGTGCCGAAGGGTGGTCTCGGGGTACCGTCCGGAGCCCGGTGCACATTCTCACCTTCCAGCAGCTTCATGATAGGCTAACTCCAGCAGCTCTGCAGAGGAGTGGGTGGGGTCCCTCCGCCCGCTGCCCTGCAGCTCCGCCATGTTCTGTCGGGTCTGGTGATGGATCTGGATGGCCTCTCCGGATGGTCCTACCCAGACAAAGACCCCCTGAGCATCAGCCCCACCCGACAGCTCGTGCTGTGCACTTGGCGTCGATCTTCCTCCCTTCTGGCTGCCGGGATGCGGGTGTTGCAGCCATTGAAGGAGCACACCACAGACCACACACACAGAGGCACGGTATCCCCGTGGCCCTTCGGCTCCCACACAGGACGTCTGCTCTTCAGAGCTGAACTCATCCTCCCGTGTGGCCTCGTGTTTGTCACCCTGTCCAGCCTAAGAATATTCAAGAGCCTCTTTCTCATGTGTGTCCAACTGAGACACCACAGAGAAATACAGAAGTATAGGAGGCAAAGGCCCTTCCCAGGAAGGTTAGCACGAACCACATGAAAAGGACCACACAACTGAAACACCAATGGCTCCCCTGGCCGGTGTGGCTCAGTGCTTGAGCATCAACCCATGAACCAGGAGGTCACGGTTCGATTCCCGGTTGGGGCACATGCCCGGGTAGTGGGCTCGATCCCCAGTGTGGAGCATGCAGGAGGCAGCCAATCCATGATTCTCTCTCATCATTGATGTTTCTCTCTCTCTCTCCCTCTCCCTTCCTCTCTGAAATCAATAAAAATATATTTTAAAAACGAAAGAAACACCAAGGATTCGACTAATATATAAGATAGCAACAACTGTGACTCGAAGAAGCAGAAGATACATAAGCGCAAAAAAGGTGGGTAGATCATCAGAATTAGTCCAGTCTGCTTTTTAGAGAAAGAAGTTTCAGAGCATTGAAGTCAGCGAGGCTGATAGAGAGGAGGTCTAGGTGGAAGAAAGGATCCGTGTGAAACCCCAGGCGTGCAAGAGGCAAGACACGTGCAGGCGATGAGCTTGGGAAAGAAGAGAACCTCTGAGGATGGTGACAGTTGGGAAGCCCGGCAAGGGAGGGCCTGGCGATGAGAGGCCCAGGCGGGCGGAGGATGCAGCTCTGGAGATACTGTTTCAGTGAAGTGCTGCGTGTCGGGTGTTGGAGGAAAAGCACAGAAGCAAGAAGAGCGAAGAGTCATGGGAGAAACACCAATAGTCCTTCTCCCAAGAGAACACGAAGAGAGCCAGTGGGATAGCAATGGGAAGAAAGAGACCCAGAAAAAAACAGATCATGTGACTGATTATGACAGCGATCAGGAGGGCGAGAAGGGGACTGAGAATGACCCCCAATGACAGCCGAAAGAACCAGATCCACTGCTCACTTATTTAACACTAACGCAAGAAAATTATAATAATAATAAATAATAATAACAACTAGACATTTCCAGGCGTTCAGCAGGATGGCTTCCAGGAAAAACCCTGGCGTTTCATGCACCTGTCCCTTCCCAGCCCAGCAAGAGCCTATTCAGCTGCAGGTGCATTCCAGCCACAGCTGCATAAAACCCAGAGAGAGGCAGGAGAGGGAGGAATGACCGAGAATGAGTGCCATCAGTCTTAGGAAAGAAAGCAGGTGGCAAAGCACAGTCTCTTTCAAACAGAACAACAGAAGCCCTCGGCTCTATACTGCTCGCTACAGTCACAAAGCCCATTCCCAGGTGTGCCCTCGGGGTCCTCACGAGAACCCCCGGGGTAGGCAAAGGGGCGTGGCGACCCCATCTGACAGGCGGGGCACCAGGTACCAGAGGAGCTTGGATACTTGACCGTGGCCCCCTGGTTTGTTGGTGCTGAGGACCAGGCCTGGGAGCACCCGGCCACGGCTCTTTCCTGAGCCACCAACTCACCCACAGGGAAGGTGTGCATCCAGCGCCTCCTGTTGGACGTGAGCTTCATGGGCATCCGTGAGGGGGCGAAGGGGTTGATCAGCGCCCGCTGGGGTGCGCAGCCCCCCGGTCGAACGTGCAGCATGGATTCCACGCTGCCCACGTGGAACCGCCCTGGCGCGCTGGAGTCTCGCTGCGGCGGCTCCACCATGTTCTCCAGGGCATCTGCCGGTTACGGTAGAGATGAGACACGGAGACAAGCACAGAGCCACAGAGGAACCAGAACCAGGCAGTCCGCTCTGCCAAGGCTGCCAAGAACCTTGGACAGTACGCATGCCGAGCAGTGAGGGAAATGAGTAAAAGCACCAAACCAGGGAGAAATGAAACCGTGGGTGTGTTTGCTTTTTAAACACTTAGTCTCGGTCCCCAAATGACTGGCCCAATGAAGCCACATCCAAACTGACGGGGAGGACCACACATCGCCTAGACTTAAAGACCCTGCACTTTAAGCTGGTATACGTCAAGGGCAGGACTTGAATTGCCTCCCGTGGAGATGGGGTGGGTATGTTCTGCATGTGAGAGGAACAATAAAATGTATATATTTGGATGACCAGCGGGCCAGACCCTGGCAGAGACAGTCCATGTGCTCGCTAAACCTGCTTGGTTTTCCTCGTAGGCACACAGACGGACAGCTCAGGTGGTTTGTACTCACTGCACTGGCAGGGAAATCATTAAACGTGGACTTACATCTGGCCACAACCCCCCAACCCCCACCCCTCAGTGCTGGAAGGAAGCTGCACCCAGCTCTGCCCAGCTCGGCCCGGGCTTCGGCTCTGACCTCGCGTGCTGGTGTAGCCCAAGGAGCTGCTGACTTCATACTGGTGCAGGTGGGGGAGAGGGATCATGAGGATGTTGGCGCTCCTGCCCAGGGAGCTGTCATCGGAAGCCTGGCTCCTCACTTCCTCCGTGGGCAGCGCCCGGCTGGGCACGGAAGGGCTGGAGGAGACGTCGCAGGAGCTGGCACTCTTTCGACTGTGACTCTCCTGCTCGCGCACAGACCTGACCCGGGAGAGAGGACAAGTTACCGCCAAGGAAGGGACGCTGCCCCCAAACCTGTCACCAGCCCAACCTACTTGGGAAACCAGTAACAAAAGTCCCCAATGAGCCTGGCCGGCATGGTTCAGTGATTGAGAGTCGACCTATGAACCAGGAGGTCAGGGTTCGATTCCCGATCAGGGCACATGCCCAGATTGCAGGCTTGATCCCCAGTGTGGGGCGTGCAGGAGGCAGCCAATCCATGATTCTCTCTCATCACTGATGTTTCTCTCTCTCTCTCTCTCTCTCTCTCTCTCTCTCTCTCCCTCTCCCTTCCTCTTGGAAATCAGTAAAACTATATATTAAAAAATCCCCAATGAGATGTCCGAGTGTCTAGTAAAAAGCAGAAAAATGCTCTCCTTATTAGGGACAATACGTTACAGCAAACAGAGCTAACAAAATGGCTGACCCAGAGAACCCCCATCCTCTCCAGCCTGCCCACACCCCACCCCCGGCTATTTGGCTAATTTGAATTGAAAACATTTTCAAGGTTGCTCTCATAAAGGTCCCCACCAGACCTCACATTTTCTCAAGCAGTTTTTATATCCACCCCCAAGGGAATCGGGCAGAAAACCTGCAGGTGGCGAGGCGCTGAGCCCGGGATGGGCCTGGCAGCCTGAACACTTGAGCGTCGTAGGCATCATAGTCTACTTGGATGGGAAGGGCATTCTCGGCTTCTTTTGGAGTCCCAAGAGCTGAAACACACAAATAATACGAATTGTCACCAAAACTAATTTCAACCAGATGTCTTCCAAGGGTCTTCATCAAAATCTGCAAAACATAATGATCATCATCATCATCATCTCCCCCTGAAGAAAAAAAAAAAAGAGAGAGAGAGATGCCTTGACCAGTGAGGGTCAGTTGAATGGGCATCCTGCTGTGCACCAAAAGGTTGCTGGTTCGATTCCTGGTCAGGGCACAGGCCCGGGTTGCAGGCTCGATCCCCGGTAGGCAGCAGAGAGCTGGTAGATGTTCTGCTCTCACATCAATGTTTCTCTCTCTCCCTCTCCCTTCCTCTCTCTCTAAAAATTAACAAAAACATTTTTTTAAAAAGGATGATAACCATTCACCAGGTTGTTGAGACATATGACTTATATGTCAAAGGATGCAGGAACAGTATAACACTAAGTAGAGGCAAGGTGATGGCAGTACCTCATTCTTCTGTAATCCCACTCTTACGATATCATCTTCCTATGTACGTTTCGTACTTTCAAACGTTCTCCCTGAGCCCTACAACTGGCCTGTCATTACCATCCATCTTGCAGCTGATAGGACAAATATATACAAGGTGGTTTAGGAACCCAGGTCTCCCAGCGTGGCTGTGAACTGTTATGTGAGCTCACATCCTCTGTTGCCATGGCAGGCTGACTCTTTCTAAATAGACGAAAGGAGGAAGATACTCACACGTGTCACGGCCATTTTTCGCTCTCTCGGAGGCAGGCTGAGGAAATAAAGAGAGAGTTAATTGCTCCCCTCCCTGGTGGAACAGGACTGACCACAAGGCACAACGGTGCAGGCGGCCGCTCCCCAGGGGGGAGACCGTCTCACCCCTGACACTGATGGGAAGGCGGGAGCGCACGCCAGGCGCCTGCCTACCGTGGCCTCCAGCCCTGCCAGGGCCTTTCCTCCCGCCTCATACCCTGTTTGCTCTCACAACTCTACCCAGGGGACCCCCGGACCCCACTTCACAGGGGAGGCTATTTAATTCTTGAGAGAATAAGGGACTTGTTCAAAGGCACACGATTAGCAGGTGGCAGAGCTGAAGTCTAAGGTCAGCTCTTCAGACTCGTAAGAGTGGCATTGTTATTGGCTGCAAATATTTTCCATTGAGTGGATATTTCATGGTTTATTTAGCTATTTCCTTATTATTTTCAACTTGTCACTATTATGAATAAAACTAGTCCAGCCGGCGTGGCTCACTGGTTGAGCGTCAACCTATGAACCACGGTTCATAGTAGGGGGCGTGCAAGAAGCAGCCGATCAATGATTCTCTCTCAGCACTGGTGTTTCTATCTCTCTCTCCCTCTCCCTTCCTCTCTGAAATCAATAAAAACATATTTAAAAAAAAAACAATATTAGACCAAGGTCTACTCAGATTCAATGTCCTCAGTTATTTCCTGAGACCACGTGGCCGGAAATAAAATGATGTTTCAAATGGCATGACTTTTTGCACTGCTCTTCATACACACGCTGCACTGCTTTTCATAAGAATCGGACACAAACCAGATACTCACGTACCCATTTCACAGACGTTTGGTCTAATTATTAATAGGTTTTAAACCTATTCGGTTTGGTAAGCAAAAAAATGAGTCCCCACTCCTGTCTGAACGCGCCTTTCTTTAATGACCTGCTAGGATGTGATCTTTTTAACGTATTTCCCCTTTGCTGCAACATGTGTCCCTGTCTTTGTCCCTGCCGGTAGCTGGGAGGTCTCAGGGCGTGAACACACCAGTCACATCATAATAAAAATAGTTCTTTTTATTATTAAAAACTAAAAATAGTTCTTTGGCCATATTTTTGTCAAAGGTATTTCTTACATATGGGGGTTTGCCTTGTTATTTAATGTGGGGAATTGTAAAAAGTTCTAAAAACAATTTCTGAAACTCATTTATTCCCCGGGGGGAAGGGAGTATCTCAGGACCAAAATAACCGCCTGGGTGTGTGACAGTCCCTCATGGCTCTGCTGGTGGGTGACACCTACCTTCTTTCCGGCCAGTTTTATCCGGGGGGTGAAACTGTTACAAAAGAGCTGGCTTTTGGAGGTGTAGAAACTGTGAAAGAAACAAACAGGGTCATCAATCTAAACACCCTTTTTAAAAATATATATATTTTATTGATTTCAGAGAGGAAGGAAGAGGGAGAGGTAGAAATATCAATGATGAGAGAGAATCATTGATTGGCTGCCTCCTGCATGCCCCCTACTGGGGACTGAGCCCGCAACCCGGGCATGTGCCCTTGACTGGAACCGAACCCAGGGCCCTTCAGTCCGCAGGCTGATGCTATATCTATTGAGCCAAACCAGCTAGGGCATGAACCCCCTTCTTTTTTAAACCTCAAGACACAGCTGAAATCGCAGCCCTGGATCAGCCGCCTCGTGAATGCCTTTGTCTCAGGCTTCCCTGGTCTCCCCGATTCTAACTTCTTTTGTAATTACTATAAAGCAGTAATTATGCTTTCAATTGTGTTCGTGCTAGTTCTGATTCCTAACTGGATTAGAATTTCCTTCTTTTGGCAGAGATAAATCTATTTACGCCATAATAATTTTCACCCAGATGCTTGACATGATGCTGGGCCCTGACCGGGAATCAAACTGTGACCGCCTGGTTCATAGATCGATGCTCAACCACTGAGCCACGCTGGTGGGGCATGTACATAGAGAAGCTTTAAGCAACTGTTAGAGCTTTGCTTTCCGCATCTTGACAAGAGACTTTACAGAGAAAATGGCAAGGAAGTTATCTGACATTCTGGTCACATACCACGAGTCAAGATCACGCCCACCTGTGGTTGATCCAGTGAGGAATATTATAGTCGTCGCCCAGACGGGAATCGCAAGGAGCACTCCGGTTATGCAGCTGCAAGCAAGAAAGTCAGGCACAGATCAGCTACGAAAACAAGTAGGCCAGGCGACTGCTCCACTTCTGTTTCTCTTTTTCCTTCTTTTCATCTTTATTGCTGAAAGTATTACATAGGTCCTCCTTTTCCCCCCATTCACCTCTACAGCCTGCCCCTGTCCTCCCCCGCCCCCCAGCCCAACTCTTGTTTTTAATGAAAACTATTCTCAAGACCATCCCAGCCCTGGAAACTGGCTTTCAGTAAGCGATCCAAAACCGAATCACCTTGAACAACGGGACGGCATGTAACGGCTGCTCCCCCATGCACACCAAGTCCACACCAATTCCTAAAAAACAAAACAAAAAGAGGTTGGGGAGAGGCGAGGCGGGGAGAGGCGAGGCGGGGAGAGGCGGAGATCAGTGCTCCCATCTATTATCGAGGTTATCTCACTGGGTCGGGGTCTGGGGCAGAGCCAACTTTCCGTGCCACGAAAACCCCCTGTGCTGCCTACGCAGCAAAGAAGTACATAGATGTGTTTTGTTCTTTCTCTGTTCCTGTTCCCCGGTCTGTCACACCTGCCACTATTTGGTGCTTGACAGTCAGCATCTGCCTGCCTTGCAGATCACGATTTGTCACACAGACAGCCAGGCCTCCATGACCAGGGTCAAGGCCAGACAGGGAAAGGAACCTTGTCATCTCCGTGAAAAGCCAGACGATCCCCGTCACTTAACAGGACGTCCTTACTGGCAATTGAGATTTCCGTTCCCAGCCCCATCCTGTGGTGGAAGCACAGATGAAATGGGGGCCCGGGGTGCGAGCTGGGGAAGCACAGCACCCCACGGAGGGAGGGCTGCACTGGACGATCTGATGGGACTTCCCCATGTGGCTGATGGACACTGGTTCCTGGAAACCATCACCCCCACAAGGGCTCCCCAGTGTCAAATATGTTTGGGAAACTCAGGGCACCAGGTATGCCCTTTAGAGATAAGCAGGGAACCCTGACATATTAAAATCTGAAATTAGGGCCCTCGCTGGCATGGCTCAGTGGATACAGCACCGGCCTGCAGACTGAAGGGTCCCAGGTTTGATTCCGATCAAGGACACATGCCCATGTTGCGGGCTCGATCCCCAGTAGGGGGCCTGCAGGAGGCAGCCGATCAATGATTCTCTCTCATCATTGATGTTTCTATCTCTCTCTCCCTCTCCCTTCCTCTTTGAAATCAATAAAAACATATTAAAAAAAAAATCTGAACTTAGGGAATGGGCTTAAATGTGTATGACCCAAGTTCTCCCAAACCACTCTGACCATGGAATTCTTTGTTGCCTGACACCACTCACACTCCCCGACCTCCGATGCACAGAGCCAGGGGAAGCTGAGTTCTAAGGGGAAGTCAGCAGTTCCCAGGGAGCGTTACCGTTATCTATCATCCGCTGCTTGGTCAGGATCATGAGTAGACGGTCCACTTCGAACACACCCACCCCAGGCGTGATCACCACGGACATCTGCCCAGTTCGGTCAAAGTTGCGGTTGATATAGTGCTTGTCAAACACTGGAAATGAAGCAAAAGAAATCCTCCAATGGAGATGTTACAGCTTTTGGGAAACCAGCCACAGGCAAGACCCTCTCTTCTTGGAGCATTTTACCTGTATCGTTACCACAGCAATTGCCACATGCTGACCTGGTTTCTAGTTGGTCACACACATGCCTGCCTTTCCCCTTTTACATTAAGAACTGCCTCACACAAGACTATGTCACTGTCGCCTTTGTTCATTGCTCTCCATTGATACTTGCCTTGTGCAGCCAGCCCTATAGGCTCAAACTTCGTGTCATTAGTTTCCACAAATGAGGCAGCATTAAAACTTCTAAGAATAAAATACTACCCTGGTTGGTTTGGCTCAGTGGATAAAGTGTTGGCCTGCAGAATGAAGGGTCCCGGATTTGATTCCGGTCAAGGACACATGCCCGGGGTTGCAGGCTCAATCCCTATTAGGGGGCGTGCAGGAGGCAGCCGGTCAGTGATTCTCTCTCATCATTGATGTTTCTCTCTCCCTCTCCCCCTCCCTTCCTCTCTGAAATAAATAAAAATATATATTTTAAAAAACAGAATCAAATACTAATTTCGGACAATATTTAAAAGAGATAGGCCAGAACCGAAAGTTAATTTTTATTTCAGGCCTGTGAAATTCTCACTATGGAAAATCAGTGATATCCAAATATGACAGAAGACTCATTAATAAAAGACCCCAGGCTCTGGAATACCCAGCGCCCGAGTGCAGGCCGTGTGAGGGTGATATGCACAGTGAAGTGCCCAGGGTCCCTTTCACCGCTGGTCGGCGCCAGACAGATGCCTAACCGGGGCTGGTCCGATCAGATGTTCTCTGCTGGGAACGTGGAATTCAGAACAGAGAGCAGAGCCAGGGTGGCTGGGAGATGAACACAGTTCGAGGAATTCCTGCCGCTGCGCTTCCCAGAGCCACCCTGGTCCCCACATTCTTCGACATGGGGTTCAGGCCTTTCTCGGCTGCTCCACTGAGCCCCTGTACCTGTAGAGTAAACTTCCCTTTTTGTTGAAATGAATTTAGTAGGTTTCTGGTATCTGCAAACTAACAGAGGAATGTAGGGACAAACATCAGGAAGAAATCCCGCCACACTCTTAACAACGCCTCTCCCGGAAGGAGCCTGACAGTGGCAGGAAGGGGAGAATTTCTTCACTATTCCTCTCCATGATTTGAATTCTAGGCACACAGGTCACTTTTGTAATTTTTTTAAAAAGTTGATTGAAAAAATTGCCTAGGAGCAGCTGAGGGCCGGGGTGAAAAAGAGTAAGAATATAGTTTAGTAAAACAAAGAGCCCAAGAGGATCCCCCAGCGCTTTACTCTGAGGTTACCCTGAGAAACAGATGAGAACAGCAAGTTAAGTTCCCAGCAGAAGACCTAAGAGCTACATTTTGGCCGTCAGAAGTTAATGCTCTCAATTAATTTGGGGGGCAGGGGGGTGTGAACATCACCAACCAGGCCTGGGTCTTTGGCATCGACACAGAGAAGTTCAGAGTCACGCGGTCAGCAGGATGCCTGCTCATGGTGGCGCTGAACTCACTCACCATTGAAGGACAGGTTGATGGCCTCTAGGTAGTTCCCTTGTGCTGAGGTAGAATTGTCTCCTGGAGGGAAGCCCTCTGAAGCGAGAGACACAAGAGAAGGAAAACAGCTCATGAGAAAGTCTTGTAAAGCAAGTTGAAGGTGCCTGGCTCCACAGGACACCCCCACACCCTGCAGTGGGGACATTATCGAACCTACTGCATGTGTAATGAGCAATCGGACCCAACCAGAAGCAAAAACCTGAGCCCAGCCAGTGTGGCTCAGTGGTTGAGCATCAACCTAGGAACCAGGAGGTCACGGTTCGATTCCCAGCCAGGGCACGTGCCCGGGTTGCAGGCTCGATCCCCAGTGTGGGGCGTGCAAGAGGCAGCCGATCCATGATTCTCTCTCATCGTTGGTGTTTCTATCTCTCTCTCTCCCTTTTCCTACCTCTCTGAAATCAATTAAAAAAAAAAATTTTTTTTTTTTTTAAAGAAACCTGATGGAAGCAGAATCTACACACAGCACTGGAAGGGGAACAAGCGTGAACCTCTTCTTCTCCCAGCCTCGTCCTACACCTCTCTTCCCCGCTGCACCTTCTACCCCATGGATGCAGTACCTGCCTGTTCCAGTCGCACCAACACTGGATACTGGATGAAGAGCTTTTTAATGGTCACCAGGAGTGACGTCCACTCTTCTCTCCTCTCATTCTGCACCACCACTCTGAAAGGAGCATCATCATGAAACAGATATCAGTCAACTACTACTCACAGGACAGCAGGTCCCTTAGAGGGTTGTAAGGAAAGAAGATAGGTGGGATTCCCAAAGTTAGGGGGCTTTACCACACAATTATAAGTGATAAAGTCAAGTACATTTAACAAATATTAACAAAGAAATGTAATCATGTCAATAGCCACATAGATTGAAACGAAGAAAATATTTTAAAATGGCCTTGCCCTGGCTGGTGTTGCTCAGTGGTTACAGTGTCAGCTCACACACCTAAGGGCTGTGGGTTTGATTCCCAGTTAAGGGCATGTACCTGACCACTGACTCAGATTCTCCATTAAGTCAACACTTGGTGGGGGAGGGAAGACAGGGGAAATTGCTTAAGCAGACCAAACAAAAAAGTTGTTTTGGAGACAATTAAGGAAATCTGTTTAAGATATAAAAAAATTAAAAAAAAAAAAAAAAAAAAGGAAATCTGAATATGTACTAGATATTAGATAATACTATAGAATTATTATTAATTTTGTTAAAGGTGATTATGATTAAAAAAAATTGTGGGTATATATGTGATTACACTGTGATTATACATGGAAATGCCCTTACTCTTGAGATATGCAGAGGAACAAAATGTTATAATATCTATAATTTACTCTCAAACATAATTTAGCCACAAAAAGAACAGATGAAGCTAATATAACAACTGTTAAAACCAGGCGTTGGGTATATGGGTTCATTATATTACTCATTCTTTTCTGCAAGTTTGAAATATTTCCCACAAAAAGTTTGGGGAGTCGTAAGGCAATGTAGTATCCTAGACTGGACTGTGGAACAACAGAATACGTAAATGGAAAACTAGTGAAATTGAGAAAAGTCTGAAACTCAGTGAATAGCAATGTTCTTGTAGTTTTGACCAATGTACCTTGGTTCTGACATGTTAACAGAGAAAACTGGGGGAAGGGTATATGGGAACTCTCTAGATTATCTCTGCAACTTCTCTGTAAACCTAAAATTACTCCAAAATACAAAGGTTAATTAAAAAAAAAAAAAGTTAGGAAAGAAACCACCAAGAAGCAAAGACAGGGGTTTCTAGTGAAGGACCCAAAACATACTTATAAAAGTCTTCATAGAATCGCCCCTTGTGATCCTGCCGAATTGAGGCTCGGTTCACCTCGGGAAATTCATCTGAAACAGAGAAAACAAAGATGAGATTGAAAAGAGAGACTCAGTTTCTCTGCTCCCATGTTTCTGGGTTGAACATTTGCATCACAAAAATAAATAAATAGCATGATGTGTCTATGAAGTTGGTTTAAGATGAATCACAGCCCACGGACTTCTTGCACCCGCTAAGGGGCTGTGCTATTTGCCACTTAACCGACCGTTGAACAGGAAGGGTGAGCAAGATGGAGCAAAGGGAAAGAAGATAATAAGGAATGAATGAGCTTAACAAAAAAAGAACTAGGAGAAAGACGTACTCACCAAGCGATTTTGCATCATAGAAAGTTCTAGAAAATAGGACCACTGTCACTTCATGACTACAGTTCTTCTCCTAGGCATGAGTAGAGAAAAAGAAGGCTCAGGTTTATTCCATTTCCTTCACATGAAGCAGCCCGCATGAACGCAGCATTCTCAGTGCTAGGAGGCATGGTGGGTAGACAGTCTCAGATAACATCAGGTAATTACAGGTTGCACAAGGCGATGAAGAGAGCGCTGCTGGACTCAGCCCTGGCGCTGAGACTTAGAACTACGTGACCCTGGGCAAGTTCCCTCAAGCTCCAGGCACGTGGTAAATGCCTTGAAAGCTGCAAATCACAAAAAAAGTAGAGGTCCCTGCCTCCCAGCTCTTGATTTGGCATGAAATAGACCAGCCCAGTGTCTAAGGATCATGGTATTTATATCTGCGTCAGTGTTGTTGTTTTTTTAAAAATAATTTTTATTGATTTCAGGGAGGAAGGGAGAGGGAGAGATAGAAACATCAATGATGAGAGAGAATCATGGATCGGCTACCTCCTACACGCCTCCTACTGGGTATCGAGCCCGCAACCCGGGCATGTACCCTGACCTGGAATCAAACCGTGACCTCCTGGTGCATAGATCAATGCTCAACCGCTGAGCCACGCCGGCCAGGCAGTGTTTTCTAATTTCTACATACGTGCAGTTTAGGGAACGTGAACAGAACTGCTGGTGGTGGATGTCAGACTCAAAGACACCCCCACATCCTGTCACTGTCATAGGATGAGGACTGGGGGCTGCTCGAGAGGCAGGGGTTGAAGCCAAGGCAATGCATTCCCTTTGGACTGGGATAGGGACTAGCGAGAAGAAGCACTCCCATGGAGCCTGGAGACCAAGGAAGTGGAGTGTTTACAGGTGGCATGAAATTTGGCTTGCAACAGGGAGCCCGCCTTCCAGGTCCAAACTCAAAAGTAAATAACATTCTAGCCCCTAAAATGTATAGTTAAAATAATAATAATGATAATAATAATAATAAAAAAAAATGTATGGTTAGCTGCTGTTTCAAATACAGTGAGGCCTTGACTTACGAGTGTCCCGACTAACGAGTTTTTCGAGATACGAGCCGTCTCTCGGCTGATTTTTTGCTTTGAGTTGCGAGCTAAAATTCGGGTTACAAGCCAGCTTCAGATACCCCACCACTAGCTGACGCAGCGAACGTCACAGTGAACGCCACAACATCAGCCCAGCATAACGTGTCTCACTCGTTCACTTTAAGATTTGACATACGAGTAATTTGAGTTACGAGCTCCATCACGGAACGAATTAAACTCGTAAGTCAAGGCCCCAATGTACATATATCCAATCTCCGTAAGTTCTCTGAGGGCAAGCATAAATTTCTATTTTCTTTAACCTTCAGAGCTGGAGGACATTTTCCCTATGTTGCTGAAGAAAGAGGATGAGACTTAGATTACATTGAGACCCAGACCCTACTGAGACCTGACTATGTGCAGCTAATTTAAAACACCTTGTGAGTTAGTGACTATTATTATCATCTCGATTCTATAGATAAGAAAACGAAGGCTCAGAGAGACTGAATTCTTCTCAAATATAAAGAAGCTAATCAGAGCTGAACCATAATTTGAAACCCAGTCTATTTGAATCCAGACTCCATGCTCTTTTCTGCTACATGTGTGACCTCAAATACTTCTTTTTAACAAATTTTTTTTATTTATTGATTTGAGAGAGAGAGAGAGAGAGAGGCATAGATTTGTTGTTCCACTTGTGCATTCACTGGTTTCTTCTTGGATGTGCCCTGACCGGTGATGAAACCTACAACCATGGCATCTCAGGATGGTGCTCGAACCAACCCAGCTACCGGCCAGGGCCACTATTTCTTTTTCTTACGCTGTTGCTCTGGCTAGAACTTCTAGGACAATGTTGAAAACTAGTGGTGACAGCAGGCATCCTTGTACTGTTCCTGATCTTAAGGGGGAAAGTTATCAGTCTTTCCACATTGGGTATATTAACTATGGGTTTTTCATAAATGCTTTTTACAATGTCAAGGCGATTAAAGTAATTTACATCGAGTCTCATCAACTTAGGCTTTCGCTAAGATACCTCAATGAAATACAGTTTAATAGAAACAGTGTATTTTTTAAATCTGCATTGAAAAACATTTGCTCGATGAGACGGAGTGCATAAGAGGAAACATACCTTCCACTTGGTAAAGAGATCGGCAAGGAAACCATTCACAGCTTTCTCAAAATACAGATCCCCTGAAAAGGAACAAGAAGAGAGTGAGGACAATCTGTCATTCTTGCTGACAATTTCTTCTCTCAGTAAAGTCACAGGAATGGGACTAGTCCAAGAGAAGGTGGGTTCTGCTATGTCCCCAAACGAGATCATAAAAGCCAGACATACAGAAGGGGTTTCAACCTAGACTTTCTATGGGGTCAAATTCAGCATTCACCTCACTGAGTGAGAGGCCATGGCTTCGAGGTAAAATGCAAGATTGGAAAAGCTCTGACTGGAAAATACGGTGGGTCTTCAAAATGAGAGAAGCATCCAATTTCCAAACATGATCATTTTCATAGTGATGCTTGCAGTTCGTTAGATGATCAGGTGGACCCTGGCATTGGCTGAATTACCATTTTCAGTTCCTGCTGTTTTTGAGTGATTTTGATGACCCGCAGGAAAAAAGGAATTTATAATTTTATAAAACACAAATTCGAATTGCGTGCACCATGAAGCTGGTGT